TTTTTTCTTTTAATATTATTTTAAATTTTGATTTTGATCTCATTTGAGTGGAGTTTTCTTAATTCTAATAAAAATGTTGTTTTCTTTTTTGATTTTGCTTCGGCTGGCGGCCAAAAATTTTGATTTATGCTCATCTTTAAAGGTACGTTGCAAGTTCTTTGTAAAATTGTTTACTTAGCCAACATAGCATGTCTACTATATACTATATATATATAATATTTTTAATATATATTTCTGTTTTGCTTTTGATTTGTGCGCTCTTTGTATTAATTTTTTGCTGAATATTAAACTGAAATTGTTCAAAATAAAATAAAGAAAATATGTCGAAGCCAAGTTCTGTCTGCGAAAATTGTAATAATGTCATTTCATTTAATGGCAGCAACGCTTCGATTTGCATAGAAAATTTGGCAAATGGCTTGGAATATATTTTGCATTTGCAGTGAAAGAAAGGGAGAGAGCTAAGAGTGGCGAGTGCGAGGGCAGTTGGCTGAAGGGAAATTGTGGAGGAAAACGTCGCGTTGTCAAGTAAATTGCATTTTTCATTTTTCACATCAACTCATACTTGCATTTATATTGCATTTCCTGCACACACACACACACACCCATATTTTTAAACATGCAAATTGTGGCAGCGACCCGGGGGACGGACAACTTTTTGGGCCGTAAAAATTGTTGGGCGAGGATTATGCCGAACAATGCCAAATGCCAGTCCATTATAAATAGCCATAAAAATTCAATAGAAAATCGAGAAAAACATTTGCATGGCCACAGGAACTGAAAGGAGGGTGCCCACCCGAGGGTTGCTACCAGAAACATGTACACATATATATATATATATATATATATAAATATGTTATATATCTATAGAAAATTGTAGCTTTAATTGCATCGAGAGTATCGAATGTCCTCTGTGCGTAATCAATGAGATGAAATTTGCATGGACACGTGACAAATAATTAACGAAAAAGGCCGCGAGCCAGTGGAGGGTTGCCGGACAGCGAGCAGTGTAAGCAGCATACACTCAGAGAAATTAGTTAGCTGGGACAACCAAGAAAGAAGAAAGAAAATATGGGGACTGTTGAAGGGAATTTGATTCGCAGCTTGTGTATTTGAGAGAGGGATTCAGGTTTGAATTGAGGTCGAGTGTAGGCAGTGCACTCAGAGAAATTAGTTGGAAAGTGAGATAATTGTAATATAAGAATTTATAATTTAAGGAAGAATTAGCTTAAGCTGCTGTAAGATATACACTTAAGATTTTATCATTTTCTATCAAATATAAGTAATATGAGAGTTACTCGGCTATATTTTAGTTAAATTTATATAACTATGCAATGCTTGGAATGCAAAATGGAAAAACACTCTGCAACTGGAAAATTAGTGTACTAACAACAAACTAATTTTAAATAATTTTTAATAATTTTAAACACAATTTATGTTTTCAATACTGATTTTCTCTGAGTGTATGCATATTCTTAATCAATTGCATCGCCGCATGTAGCCCATATTGATTTTTTGTGTGTATGCAGTTTCTTTTTTACAACCAGCAGCTGCACAATTTGAATTTTCCATGGAGAGCGGAAAATGCGCCGCTTGACCCACACACAACGGCTGCAGTTGACCGTGCGCTGAGTTTCCCATTTTCCTTACACACACTTCCCATTATAATACTTATCGCATTTTTTCCGTTTTTTTTTTTTTGGTTTTTTTTTTCACTAATCATTTGGAGGGTATGCATAAAGCATATATATATATATGTATTTTTTTTTAAGCAAATAGCCTAATCAGCCTTTGCGTGGGGGTTGAGCCGGAAGCGCTGCATACACACAAATTTTTATTATATTTTTTTTTATGAGGGTGCCTCCGTTTGGCGGCAGCTGCTGCTGCAGGCGAATTGAGAGTGGCATAAATTTAAAAAAGAAATAAAAAATAAAAACTGGTACAAATATGTTTCTTCGACTCGCTTTGTTGACAAATTGCATTTGCTTGAAAATTCAATCAAATATCAATTCAATAATTTTCCTTCAAAGGCGTTCAGCCGGCATAAACAACAAGAAGTTCTGCCAGACCCCTATACCCAAACAAAAACCACTCTCAGCTCTTTAAAAAAGGTTCACAAATGGGTGTGAACTCTAATTGGACACAATCAATGACAATTTTTTTAAGTGTGCTTCGATAAGATTTTGTGGTAAATTAAAAGCCGCAGAGCTTGGCCAGAGAATAGTAAAGTGAAATCAATAAAAAATATAGAAATAAAATTTTTAAAAAATATTTTAATTAATTTTTGTAACAAATACACGTGTTTATTCATATATATTTATATATATATATACATTATAAAATAATTGGAATAAAAATTAGGAAAATAATTATGTTTAATTGTAAATGAAAATTATGTACTATGTATTCAAATACTGTTAAGTATTTTTTGTATATTTATTTTTGTTGTTTTTGTTAGCTATTTTAGTTTGTTTGTTTGTTTGTTAATTTTAGTGTTGTACAGCGACGCATTTGTTTTTTTGCTAAAAGGCACGCAGCATTTTAAAAAACACACGTTTTTAAAAAATAAAATTAAAAATAGCAAAAATTTAACGTCGCTGCAATTTATTGTTTATTGTTTATTTTTATGTTATTTTTCATTAATTTTTTGCATTGACTTTTCAGCTGCGCAGATTTCTGTAAAGAACAAACGCCTTAAATACTACAAAAATAATATACAAAAAAGTGCGCAAAAATACTGAAAAATCAATGCAATTGCCTTGATCTTGCTTGTGCTTTGTATGTGTGTGTGTGTGTGTATGTGTATATCATCTATAAGCCGGTGCAGACCTATACCTAAATGGCCAGGCCATTTGGCTGGCTGCTGCCAAGCTTTGACTAGATTTGAATTTTTGTCTTTTTTTGCTTTAGTTTTTAGTATTTTGCGACTAGCTTCGTAATTTGGTCAGTTTTCGTTTTGGGGGAATGCATTAGTATGTTTTTTCGTGTTTGTTTTTGGTATGTTCCACTTACAATTAAAACTAAATAATAAAAAATACTTTTTAACTAAATGCTAAATATAAGTTTTTGTGCTTTTTGTTGTTATTGTTGTGTCTTTTGTTTTTGAGGTAAATTCACTAAAAATTTCATTTACTTTGCTGCTCTATAAGTTGCAGTATTTTAGTATTTTTATAAGCATAAATGTTTATATATTCTGTTATATAAATTCATTTATTTAAATTATTGTTTTCAAGTCCGTCTGAGGTAGCAATTTTTAATATTCAACTTTGGAATCGTTTATATATTTATTTTCGCATTTATCATTTATATATATTTTATTTAGTATTTTCTTTAGTATATTTAAAGTACTAATGGTCATTGTACTTTTGCCCTGAGTTGTTCGTGTTGTTGTTGTTTTGTTTTGTTTTTGCCTGCTGCTTACAAAAATTTAAAAAAATTCTTTACTGGCGCCATTTATGTGTTTTATCTTCTCAAATCTGAATCGGTTCTACATATAGCCTGCTCTATAGATGTTGCTCATTCTATAAACGTATATGTACAGTTAGTTTTTGGCCTAGGGTGTACTATATATAAGATAAATGTGAAGAGAGCTTTTTGTAGAAGTTTCTATAGAGTTGAAGGAGCAGTGTTGTAAAACGTTAATAGTGTTAGTTAAGTTTGTGTTACTATGGAACTGTCTTGTATAGATAAGCACACCATCTCTAAATCCCATTTACTTAGCTCTCCTAATTTTGATTTCGACTACTTTTTTGATTTTTGAGCAAATTTGTGCATAAAATGTTTTTTTCTCTTATATGCTGAAGCTTGAATGTGTTTACCTCTATTTTTTTGTAGGTATTACTAGCTCTACTATATATATATTATACCAAATCCCTTAAGCTAAGCGCACCGAACCCAGCCATAGACATACCTATGTCCAACTATCCAAGTTAAGCTGGCTACTACGATATATGTTTCGGTTATATGTGTATGTATATATATCGCCTCTCTCCTCTATCTCGCTCTCCTCTGTCTCTTTCTCTATTCCATGCTTTGCGACTTATGTATTATGTACGTATTTAATTTTCCATTTTTTTTTTTGGTTTCTTGACTAAGTTAGCTCGCTTTCTCTTCCCTTTCCTTTTCCGTTAATGGCTTTTAAAAATTACTATTACGCATAGGAACTTTGATATTAATCACTAGAGATATAGATATATGTATTGTTTTGGTATGTTATGCAATGTTTTATGTTTATCATTTATGGATTTATATAGAAAAATATGTTTTTAGCACACAGTGTTGCCAGCTGAAACGGACTTGTTATTGTTATTTCGATTATAGTTTGATTTTCATTAAGTTTTAGATCGTTTTTAGTGTCGGGTTCCATGTTATACACAAAACGCATTCATTTATGCTACAGATCTCTGCAGTTGCTGTAGCCATAGCTATTGTATATAAACTTTACTTTAATGAGCTCAACTAATATGCGCACTCAGTCTTTTGTAGTTCCACTATTTTGTCTTGTCTTCTTGTCGGCTTAACTGGGCTGGGGCGACTACTGCTAGCCAGCGCTGTAGCCTGGCTATAGTAATCGTAATGGTGCAATGACACGAGCCAAATCTGCTGCTTAAGCTGTGGAAATTGGCTTAAAAGTTCTTATGAAATTCTTTCATTGAAATACATTGTCTCTGAAGCTCATTAAAGCTTTAAGCTGTTTTAAAAGTGCTCAGCTAGAGCTCTAAGTTGATGTATCTCATACTCTCATAGATATTGAACCAGTTTGTATATTGTTTTGATTAGATATTCTAGACCTTAAAGCGGCAGAAGCTCATGAAAGCTTAAAGCTGCATTAAATGTGCTTTGACAAACTACACTTAATGCCGCTTAGAGCTTTTAGAACTTGAATGCTTCATGCTCTTCTGTCTGCCTTTGACATTATTGTTGTTTATCAACGCTTCTCGTACGACTCTCTTTCAGCTTAGTCCCAGTTTAAGCTCGTGTCATTGTGCCAAGTTTGTGTGGTATATGCTTTTTGAACAAAACGGTTTTTGGGGTTCTTTTTAACTTACATACGCTGGCAACACTTAAGTGTTGTGTTTGTGATTTGTGGTTCGGTACCTGTTGACCTCTGAGCTGTGTCGCGGCTTAGGCTGGTGTCAGCCTGAAGCTCAGCGTGGTCGACTCCGAGGCTCGCACGCGCACCGGCAGATAAACGAGCGCCGGTGCAAAGAGACCCTCGGCATCGGCGTCAGCGGGTGTTAGATGGAAGGCTTGCATCTGATATGCCTCTTCCGACTTGTCCGGCTGTGCATAGCTGGCCGGCTTGCCGCTGCCATTGGCCAGATCCGCGCACAACTCAAAAGGCGAGGTGGCCGCCGAACGTTGAGCTTGCAGGCCGTTGGGTGTGCCCGGCTTGGAGTTGTGGGCGCTGCGTCGTCCGAGCGTGGGTGTCACACTAGCTGAACGGGCTTTGGGCGAGGCGGCAGGGGCGCCTGGCGAGGGTATCATAGAGGGCGTGGGCGTGGCTGTCTTGCTATGGCTGTGGTTGCTGTTGCTGTTGTTGTTGGTGGTCAGGTTTGTGGGCTCGACATCCGAGCGCTCAGCTTTCAGGGCGCGCTCTCTGTTTGTCTTGCTTCTGGCTTTGCCCTGAGCGGAGCTGAAGGCTCTGTCCCGATCCGCCTCCAGTTGAGCGTCGTTGCCATCGTTGCCTCCATTGTTGAGCAGCGCATGGGAGCGTTCGTGTATGAAGAGGAATGCATAGTAGGGCGTGGTGAAGGGGCACAGTGAGCATTGGTATTCTTTGAAGCGCGGCGTCTGCTCGAACATGCCCGGCAAGGGCAGCGGCAGTGGCATGCCCTTGGGCAGCTGCATCTGGCCAAACAGCTGCTGCTGAGCATTCTGCAGCGCCTGGGCAAGATTGTTGGCAGCACCTGTGGCATTCCCATTGGGTATCTTGAGCGTGGGACTGTTTGGCTTGCTGCTGCCGCCACTGGTGCTGATGGCCGACTGCTCCAGCTCGCGCAGCTTCTCAATGCCAGCGGCGCCATGTTCGTTCATCAGATGCGTGCGCAGCCACTTGGAGCTGCGGAACTGGCGAGCGCAGAGCGGGCAAAGCTCATTCGATTCGCCACGCAGCGGCGTTAAGTTAATCTCCGGCTCCAGCAACTGTTGCTGCTGCTGTTGCTGTTGTTGCTGCTGCTGTTGCTGCTGTTGCTGCTGCTGCTGTTGCTGCTGCTGCTGCTGTGCCTCGACTTTCAGACCATTCTGCGCGCTGCCACGCGGCTGGGGCAGTGGAGCGCCATCCTCAATGATGCCGTGCGTGTTGTGCTTGTGCACGCGCAGAAAGTATTTGCTGCACAGCTCCTTGTTGCAGATGTTGCACACGACGCCCCCGATCTGTGCCCCATTCTCGATTTCAATGCCATGCATGCGCTGCATGTGCGTCTTCATGAAGTACTTGTTGCACAGCTCCTTGTTGCATATCTCGCAGTAGCTGGAAGTGGGCGTTATGGTGTAGGCGGCACGTGGTGTGCCAGGCGCCACGCCTCCAGCTGCACCGCCAGCGGCGACTGTGGCGCGTTCCGGCGTGTAGAAGCCCTCGCGCAGCGGACTGCTGCCCGGCAGGCGACCCAGATGCACCTCGGCGATATGTTGCTTGAATTCCTGTGTGTTGCCAAAGTCACGCTCGCACGTCTGGCAGCGCAGCTCGTTGGGCGTGGGCGTGGCAGCATTGGGCGAGCCCCCACCAGCAGCCACTGGCGACAATTTCAATGGCAACTGTTGCTGCTGTTGCTGCTGCTGCTGCTGCTGCTGCTGCTGCTGGTAGAGCATGGGATGTCCCTCGGGCATAAGCTGGCCCGCGTGCTCCGTCATGAGATGGGCTCGCAACGCGTATTGATGCTCCAGTTCCCGGCCGCACAGGTGACAGGGCAGCGGGCGTTTGCCATTGAAGTCGTTGAGCTGCTGCAGCATCGATTGCAGCTTCTGCAGATTCTGCAGACCCATCACCGAGTTGTCCAGTTTGTCTTGCGGCGGCGTCGTCTCGTCGTAGGGCTCGAGCTTGATACGTTTGCTGGGCTGCTCCTCCAGTTGCTGCTGTGGCGCCTGCTGTTCATCGTCCTGATCTGGCTGCTGCTCCTGCTCGGCTGCTGCCTTGGCCAACATCAGATTCAGCGGCATGAATGGCCAGCCGGCGGGCATCATTGGCTGCTCCTCTTTGCCCAGCTCCTCGGGCGGCACAAAGACCCCGTGACGCTTCCACTTGTGCGTGCGCAAGAAGTAGCGATTGGCATACTCCTTGCCGCAGAGCTCACAGAATGCCTCCGGCAGCTGAACTCCGAGACGTCGCAACTTCTCTGGCGCCCAGTTGGAGTCGCGTGCCTGCTGCTGCAGCTGACTGGGCAGCTTGCGAGGCGGCGGCGCAAAGGCCACCTCCTCCTGCTCCAGCGTGAAGTCCTCGCGAAAACCTTCGGGCAGTTGATACGGCTTCTGTTCCGCCACGGCCAACACTTCCGGCGTGGGCTCCTGCTTAACGGCTGGCTGCAGAGTCGATGGCGTCTGCTCGTTGGGCGTTGGTGAGGCAGTGGGCGTGGCCTGTTCGTGCTGCTTGGCGCGATGGCGACGCATGGCAAAGACATTGGTAAAGCGCTTTGAGCAGATGTCGCAGTGCACCGCCGGCGGTGCGGGTGGTGTCAATTGTGGTTCCGGTTTCTGTGGCGGCGGCTCACGTGGCATTTGCAGCGTTGGGAAGATGGAAGTTGAGCTGCTGCTGCTGCTGCTGTTGTTGTTGTTGTTGTTGCTGCTGTTGCTGCTGTGGTTGTTGTTGCTGCTGCTGCTGTTGTTGTTGTTGTTGCTGATGCTGCTGATATTGTTGTTGGGCGTTGTCAAGTCGCCGGCGGGATCGAAGATGCCATGCTTGTTGGCCTTGTGCGTCTTCAAGAAGTATTTGTTGCAGAACTCCTTGTTGCAGAGCTCGCAGTAAGCCTCCGGATTGAAGATGCGCAAGGGCGGCCGATTGAGCCCGTCGACGCCCGCAAAGCCCGGCATGCCAAGAAGTGGCCAGCCAAGTGCCGCCTCTGGCGGAAATGCAAAAGCGGGCGGCATGCCAGGCAGTTGCTGATGCTGCTGCTGCTGCTGTTGTTGCTGCTGCTGCTGCTGTTGCTGCTGCTGTGCCATGGCCTGTAGCCAAAGTTCGTGTTCCTTGTTGTTGCTGGCGTGTCCATTGGCCAGCTCCAGCTGCTGCTGTTGCTGCTGTAGCTCCAGCTGCGAGGGACTGTCAGCACGCTCAAGCTTCACTTTAATGGAGGCCAGCAAGTCCATGGGCTCGTCGGACGACAACTGTTGCTGCTGCTGTTGCTGCTGCTGCTGGTGCTGCTGATGGTCCTGCAACATGTGCAGACTGAGCTTGAACTCTGTCTCAAAGTTCTCACCGCACTGCTTGCAGTAGGTCTGATAGGGATTAATTAGCTGTTGCTGCTGCTCTTCCTCTTGCTGCTGCTGCTGCTGCTGCTGTTGCTGCTTCTCTTCCGCGTCTGATATGTCTTCGGGCTGCAGCTTTTGCTGCTGCAGCAGCTCGAATGTTTCCTTTAGCTTCTCTATGGACTTGGGCAGCAACATCTTCGACAGCTTCTCCTCGTAGTCGATTGTCGCTGGGTCCACCTGGCCCGCTGTGGTTGTGCCTGTGGCAGCTCCCTCCTCCGTCTCGCCACCACTCAGATTGAGCGCCTCCAGACGACTGGGATTGTGTTGCTTGCGCCGCTTCTTGGCCGCATCGTTGAGCGCTTCGAGCAGCTGCAGCTGCATGGCTGCTGCATTAGCTGCTGCAGCAGCCATTGCAGCCATCGCTGTCTGATCCAGGCCGCCTGCTGCCTCGCCCTCGCCGTCGGCCTCGCCCTCGGCCTCATCCTCGACTGCTGCCATGTCTGTCTCATTTGTGTTGCTTCCAAGTGGCTTCGACTCCGTTTCCAGAGTGGGTGACATTGCTGTGTTTGCTGCAGTGGTTGCTGCTGCTGCTGCTGTTGCTGTTGCTGCTGTGGCTTCATGTGTGTGACTGTTGTTGTTGTTGGTGTTGCTGCTGCTGTTATTGCTGCTGCCGCCGCCGCGATTTGTGTTGAGTGTGGATGAGTTGGAGACATCGGAGAGCGCTGTATCCTCGCTGCTCAGATCCGGCGGTGGGGTGGCATATATGGATGCGGCCATTTTGGATGATATTACTGTGAATAGAACAGCAAGAGGAAGAACAACAAAGCATCAGGCCAATGTACTTTAATTAAAGAAGCCCCAAAAAACTAATTGGGTGTCTAAAGTTGCGAGAAAGCTTAAGCATGCCAGCTGAATATACGTGGACTACGAGGGGTTTTATTGGGGTTTAACTATAACTGGTTAGTGTGTGTGGAAAAGGGAAGGCGGAGGCTTGGGGCGCGGCCAACGGAGCCTACGGCATGAATAGCTAGAGGCTTAAATCGCGTTAAGCTCCACCCGCTGCCCTGCCCCCTCTATATGCTGAAACTTCCATTCAATTTTATTTCTATTTGCCGCAAAAGTATGTTGCCAAAAATGTTCTACCTACACACAATCACACACAATCACACACACACACACGCACAGCTGGCATACAACATTTTGTGTCTCATTTCCTTATGCGCTTAATTTCATTTTTCTTCTGCTTTTCCTTTGCGCTCTGTAATTTTTTTCTTCCTTCCAGCACTTTTTCATTTTTGTGCAAATTCTATGAAAAATTTTTCCATTATGTACACAAATACATGCGCACACAACACACACATACGTCTGTATATATGTGTTATATATATAAAGAAAAGTTTTTGTGCGCCCAGCTGCCACCCACCCACACACACACACACACACACACACACCCACACTTGCAACCCCATTGCCGCACACGAAAATTTATACAAAGTCATCCGATTTAAGGAATACAAATTTTGCTTATTTTGTGTGGCCAACACACACACACACAAACTTTTTCTCCACCCACACATATACATATATATACACACTCATGCATGCCCTGTGTAATATTTGCCAAGCAGTCTCTGCCCCCCTGGACAGCCCCAACTTGAACTGCGCATAAAACTTATAAAAATTTTCTTCAACATGACTTGGTAAAATAAATTTGATTCTCAAGAAAGCAAAAGGAAGCCGACAACGACACGAAGAAGGCCCAAAAACTGGGCGGTGGCAGGGGGCGGGGAGTGGCAGACGAACAGCCAACACAAGCTGCCATGCAACCGTGTTGGTGTGTGTGTGTGTCTGTGGCAAGGGGCCAAGGCAAAGGCAAAAATGTCGAAATGAACCCAAAAAGAAAAGTAGAAGAAAAATAATTTTTTTCCCTATTTTCTCGACGTGAAGGCAGAAGAAAAATATTCTCAACTATGCTGCAGACATAAATTAAGTTTCCATGGTTGGAAATTGGTTCTCTCGTAGATTTTGTTGCTGTTGTTGACTTTGCTTTTATACAATTTCAGCATTGAAGGCACAAGCCCCTGCCCACCCAATCTACGCCCACTTTTGGTACTTTGCAGGAGTTAAGCAAAAATGCCTCCCTATATACATAAGTGTGTGTGTGTGTGTGTGTGGGCGGCCGACTGTGTTTGGGATTTTTATAAAGCCTAAGGTAGTTTGATGTTATTTTATTTGATTTTTTTTGCGTCTACTTAAATAAAATTGGCTAGGAACAGAGTGTAAACAGTTCAGTATAACAAACTGAGAGGCAGGAAAACGCGTCTAATTGGCAAACATAACAAAGTGTTATACATAAATAGAACATCATATATAAAATATATATACTTGTATCTTTTTATATATGTGCTTTTGGCTGGGCTTCAAACATAGTTCGTTGGGGCATGCAAGGAAATGCAGGTGATTACCCAATATAACAATGTGTTATACATAAGTTTAAATATGTATAACAGCTTAAGTTCAAATTGGAAAATTTAAAAATCTGTTATACATATATTTATATATTTATCACTTCATTAAACCGTTTTTGCTCAATTTAGAACACATACTTAATAAGACACTCTAGAAATTGCAAGTAACTGGCTATAAGTTCGTAGATATAACAGTTAAGGCTGACGTTAAGTCAAATTGGTAAACATGTATAACAATTTGTTATACATAAATAAATTTTTATAACAACTAAAGCTCACTTTAAAACACACTCATAAACACCTAGAAAAAAAATATATTTTATATACATTTTCCCATTAGGTATAACAGTTTAGTTTCACTTTAAAACACATACTCATTAAATTGTTATATTGATTCGCCAAAAGCTCACTTTGCTTGCATTAAGCGAAAGCTTATCAGTTTATTGCTAAGTCAAATTCGTCAAGTTTCAGATTTCGTTCACTTTGGTATTGCACTTTCGTTAGGTTCGCGCTGTTTGTCGAGTCGCTGGCGCATGCGCACTTCGCTGCTGCTGCTCGTGTCCTGCCAAGTGGCTCGCTCAATTTCAACTGCCGCATGACGCAGCAGAAACACCAAAACACAACAAAATTGATGAAAAAACCCAAAAAAAACTGTCAAATCGCAGTTACAAGCGCAAAATCAAAACAGCAATAACATTGATACTAAAATCAGACACACACACACGTATATGCACACACATGCATCACACAAATGTATCAATGCACACCCCGCCGCACATTTAATAGTTTTCCCAACACACACACACACATAGATAGCTGCCCACAGCATTTTTACCCAAAAAAAACCTCAATAAAACACCCCAAAATATCAAAAATCAAATAATTTCCCTTAAAAAAAATACACACACACACACACACACACATGCAGATACGCGCAAGCGACAACTGAGCGACGCGTCGCTGCTCGGAAAACCATTATAGCTCCGCCCCTTTTTACAACTTTTCACTAACCACCACACACACACACTTATGCACTCACACACACACACACACTCCGGCATTTATAGTTGACTTTTTTTTCCTCGTGCTCGTGCCAATTTATCATTGTTCGATAGTTTTTCAATTTGTTTTCTTTCGTCTCTCCAGCTACTGTGTTGTTGTTGCCATCGAGTCGCCGTTGCTGTTATTTTAATGTATTCAACATTTTGTGACTTTGTCACGACTTTTCTGTCGGTCGCGCCCCAAAAAGTTGCTGCGCGATTTCCGATATGCTTCAGTCGCACACTCAAATAACTTCCATTGTATTCATATCTTTCAGAGCGAGTGCAGTTGACAAGTCTCCGAGTCTTATGAATGGGCATGTGTGTGCGTACCGCATTTGATTGCAGCAATTGCTGCCTAAGACCCTTCCTCCCTCCCCCTTCCTCTTCTATTGCACTTTAATCTTGACACAACTCAATCTTCAATATGAGCCAATGTAATTGCCGTCTTCTTTGAAGCAGGGTGGCTAGCTCTGTTTATCAAATATCTGTTGCAGCAGATAATTGACAAGCAGTTATATATTTTTTTATTCTTTTGGTGGTTGCTAAGAACATTTTTTTATATACCTGATGCGCAGTGAAGTCTAAGGGCTTACACGGCTGTCAAAGAAGTCAATTAGGCTTAATTAGAGGTTATCTAAATATTTGTTTGAGGTCAATAGTGCTGGCATCTTGAGAATTTAGAAGCGAACAATAGGTAGATATATGAAATGCTGTAATATTTTATAATATGTGAGTGTAGCCTACCTGAGACCGAGTTCTAAATATAGAAATAAAATTCTTTTATAATATAAATGTTCTATTTAGCAATTATATAGCTCTAAGGTCTTAATCTGTTCTTGATTTAGGAAAGCTAAAATTCAGCTTAGAATTAGTAGCATAAGCTCCGCTGTGTATAACAGTTTCTGATGTAAGCTTCACAGCTGTTATACTATAATAAATTATTATGTGTATGATATAACTTGAAATAAGCGAACGCAATCTTAAAGCAATACTTAAAAGTATTTAAAATATTTGGAAAATTTCTAAGCACTTGCTTCAAGTATCTCCTTTAATCTTAACTACCAAGGAAGTTAATAAAAACACAGTTTAATAAGCCTGCTTAACTTAGCCCTCAGACAGCTTCACCTCCTAAATCAGATCATACACCCACATCATACATAACTCCCCTGACATATATTTATTTATATTTATATTTATATCAGGCAATGTTTGTGTTCTAATTTCTCTGCCTACGCATTGATAGATTGATTTTGACTTTACAAGATGCTCGCATGTGGGTAAAAGCGTGTCTCGTTGATGTATGTGCTTGCCACCCCTTTGCCACAGACCCCACTCCCACTCATGTCAGGCTAACTAGACAAGTGAAAGTGAAAGTGACTTCTCTGCTTGCTAGGTTCATCTCTCTGTCTGTATGTCTGTATGTCTGTGCTGGCTGTCGCGCTGTTTGTCTCTCTATCTGTTGTCCTGCCATGTCCAATGCTCGCATTGCTTTCTGATGGCTGGACATGCGCAGCAGCGCACGACTCCGCTGCTCCTCCCCATACCAATGCCGAACACTTAGCTCTCTCGCACGCGCTCTCAGCACCGGCTACGGCGCCCTCTCTATAACATATGTGTGCATGTGTGTGTGCGTGTGCGAGAAAAGTCGAAATCCGCCGGTTGAACGAACCAGGCGAACAAAATAGCCCAACAGCAGTAGCGGCAGCAACAGCAACAGCATTGAAAACCCATTGGTCAGAGCGTATGGAGCATGGAGCATGGAGCCTTCAGCCTGCGTCCCAGTTGTCTGTCCACGTCTCGTGGTCAAGGTTTGCTATTGACTTTCACTTTTCACATGTCGGCACACGTCCGTGTGTGTGTGTTCGGCCCTCCGTCCCGTTTTGCGGTTGCCATCGTATTCGTTATAGCCGATGCCGGCACTTTCGCTTTCTACTCAGACACACACACGCACCCACAGTAGGCATTTGAGAGGGGTTCATGTGGCTAGTGGGTCAAGCGCTGGTAGGCGCATGTCTGTTGCTGTTGCTGTTGCTGTTGCTGGACCCAACACGTGTGTGCACTCGAAACGTAAACAAAAGGCTATACTACAATTCGAAAGCTCGTAATTATAGTTTTCCTTTTGAGCGGGTGTCAACTGTCGCCCGCCCTGACAGTTCGTCAGCTAAACAATCATTAAGAGAATTTAAAACAGTGCCTGCTGCCTCTCTCTTTCTGCCTGAGTCGCACATGCAAATGCATGTGTAATTACAACAATTGAAATTATTCGAATTGGTCCTGTGT